TCCATTTCTTTGTTATGCAGCAACTGAATGTATAGACATTCCACTCTAAAAGATGTTTTTATGTGAGTGAAATCCTAGTTTGGACATTAGAAAGAGAAATGAAATCAGATTTTCAAAGAGTTACTATTGACATAATTCTGGTGAGACTAGAAAAGGTCAGACCCATGAGACAGGAAATTTTATTGGACTTTGAAGCTTACCCAGTTTGTTTATTCACAATCGCCAGATTTGTATAATTCAACTTTGATGGTGCAAAATAAAATACATCTCATTTTTAAAGCACAGCCAGCCCAACTAAAAATAATGATATCTTTTTAAAATTTGTTTTTAAGTCATCTATAAAAACATTAAAATCTTATTTGTAGGGGATTGTGTGGTATTTTGGTACATGTAGACATTGTATAATGTTTAAATGTTAAACATATCTATTTCCTTATATATCTGTCATTTATGATGAAACTATTTAAAATTTTGCTGAAGTTTTTAAAAATATACAGTACATTGTCATTTATAGTCACACTATTATGCAATAGCATACCAGAACTTCTTATGCCTATCTGACTATAAATAGTGTGTTTCTTGATAGCAAGTCTGCACATTGCACAAATTATATCCTTCACAATCAGTAAGATTTTAGGTCAATTATTTTTAGGAATGGCAAGAAGGGTCTACTGTACTCTGAGTTATAGCTTGGGTTTTTCTACTCCTCCTACTTTATGAGAAATTCTTCTAAGAACTGAAACATTTTTTACATATTTCATTTATTCTTTGCCTTGGCTTTGACTCTGCAAAGAGGCACCTGGTGTAGCTATTTGAGGACACCCATTGAGGGAACCCATTATAGTCTCTATTGTGCAATACTTTTGTTAAAGAATTTCCAAAATGTATTTGGTTTAAAGCCTACAACTTTGTAAGAATTAACATTATTTATTCATATTAGGCTGTATTTTATGAAAACAAAACTATAGTAATGTATTTCCCTGTAAGTAAGGTACTGAAAATTGAATGCAATACTTATATTATTTTATGACAATTACAATTGAAGAGTAAGCTCGATTTTGGAACTGTTCAGGTAGAGTAATTGTTTCACATTGAAAAAACCAGATTATTTCTTTAACAAAAAAATTTTGGCTCAGTCTTCATGCCCTTTCTTGACAAATCTCAGGAAAGTAGAGAACTAACTATTCTTAAAATAATTTTGCCTAAATATTGCACTACATTTTTGCTCAGCTGGAATACTTACATGCAATCAACTTAATGAATATATGTACTTCTCTGCTCTTCCCTTAAACCATAATTTCTAAAGCCAACCAAGAGGACTAGAGCTCAGGCCATCTGTAAATAATTTCTAAAACAATTCTTACTTTGACATGTAGAAGTAAATATTCTGAAAATTCATGATACAAAGTAACCACAGGTTACATCAATTATTTGAGGAAGTAGAATATTAAAAAATGTTTTGTCTTACACTTGCAAAAATGAGAGTATAATACTCATATTAAGTGACTTTTATATTAGTCAGTAGTTCAGATATATGTAACACTCTTGAATTTTTATTGCATGTCATCCTAGGAATTAATGGCTGTCCCTTAATTTGTCCATTTGATATTAAAATCCAAGAATAGAATAACTACATTTGATGAATAATTATATTTTATGAATCATCAGTTTTTTTTAAATTTACGTTTACATTATACTAAAAAGAGAAAAACTCTTTAGAGAAAGCATTTTCTCTAAAATCAGAAAAGAGACTGAGGTTTTCATTCATACCACTTCTCTTCAATATATTACTCAAAGCTTTAGCCAGATCAATGACATAAGAGAAAAAAATAAAAGGGATATGAATAGGAAAGAAGTCAGACTATCTTTATTTCCAGATCCTTCACATAAAAGGCTTAAAATACTCCACCAGAAGAGTCTTAGAGCTAATAAATTCAACTAAGTATGTCAGGATACAAAATCAATATACAAAAATTAATAGCATTCCTATATGCCATAATGAGAGAAAGAAATTAGGAAAATAATCCCATTCACAATAGCTTCAAAAAATTAATACTCAGGGCTGGGGATTTAGCTCAGTGGTTCCGCCACCTGCCTTGCAAGCACAAGGACCCAAGTTTGATCCCCGGTACCAAATAATAATAATAATAATAATAATAATAATAATAATACCCAGAAGTCAATCTAGGTATTTAAGAGAGAAAAGACCTCTGTAATAAAAACTATAGTCCTCTGAAGGAAGATTGAAGAAGACATTAGAAAGTGAAAAGGCTTCCCCTTTCCTGTATAGGCAGACTCAGTATTGTCAAAATGGCCATATTACCAAAAATGATATAGATGTATAGATTTAATGAAGTTCTTATCAAAATATCAACATTTGTCTCATTACTAGAAAAAGAATTCTAAATTTTATATGGAAACCAAAGAGATCCAGAGAAACTAAAACAGTCCTGAGCAAAAAGAGCAAACTGGAGGCATCAGAATGCTGGATTTCAAGTTATACTAAGAAGTCATAGTAGCAAAACCAGTACAGTATTGGCACATAAATGTATACCAATGAAATAAAACAGAAGCACAGAAACAACTCTATGCACCTTTATCGGTCTGATCTTTGACAAAGGAAACAAAAACATGCATCAAAGAAAAGACAGCTTCTTTAACAATGATGTTGGGAAAACTGGTTATCCACATGAAGAAGACTGAAAGTAGACCCATTTCTTTCATGCTGCATTTAGTCAAACCAAAATGGATCAAAGACCTAAATATAAAAACAGAAGCACTGAAATTGCTGGAAGATAACATAGAGGAGACATTGAATACATTAGCACAGGAAAAATTTTTTTGAACAGAATTCCAGTAGCACAAGAAAAAACACCAAGATTTAGCAAATAGCATTTGCTATATTTAAAAGTTTCTGTGCAGCAAACAGTCAGTAGAGTGAAGAGACAATATAAGGAATGGGAAAAAAATAGACACATAAAATGAATAGACACTTATATGAAGAGGTACAAATAATCATTAAGTATGGAATAAAATTATTCCTCATCTTTAGCCATTAGAGAAATGCAAATCAAAACAATACTGACATTTCATCTTATTTTAGTCACAATTGTTATCATCAAGAACACAAAACTTACAAATATTGTGGGGAAGAAGGAACCATTCTACATTATTGGAATGTAAACTGTTACAAACACTATGCAAATCTCTCAAAAACCTAAACAGACATTTCATTTGACCCAGCCATATCTCTCCTGAATATCTTTCCAAAAGATTTAAAGTCATATATTATAGTGACACATGCATACCCATACTTACAGCATTCCAATTCACAATAGCTTGGCTATGAAAACAGCCTAAAGGTCCATCAACAGATGAATGGATAAGGAAAGTGTGGTATTTATACAATGGAATTTTACTCAGCCATAAAGAAGAGTGAATTCATGTCATTTGTAGGAAAATGGGTGAATTTTAAGACTGCAATATTAAATTAGATAAGTCAGACACAGAGGTTAAATTTTATGTGCTTTCTCTTATATGAGAAACACAAAACACTAAAATAAAGGAGAAATAGCAAGATGCAAGGAGGAAATTTTTTTGGAGATGAGGAAGATTAGGGGAAGAGGATAACGGGAGGGGAGGGGAAGGAAAAGGGATCTGAAATGATCAAATATATATGTGTGTGTGTGTGTGTATATTCCAAAAATACATATATACATATACCTCAAAACAATTATAAATATTATGTATCACAAATATATAAGAAAAAGCCATAATCTTCAGCCTTACCATTACAATAATGAGCATTTTAATAAGGTGCCAGGTATTCATCTACACCTTAAAATTTGAAAGACACTAAATGATAGCCATTTTAACCAAGTGCTGTTGGAGGACTTCAGTGACCCATTTGTGTTTGTTGTCTAGTAGACACCAAGTGGTGCCATCTTAATTATTGTAGGCTAAAGAGAAAGGGACAGAGATGGTCTTGATATCTAAATAACATTTCATGCCAGAGAAAGGTTAAAAGAATGACATTCTACACCATGTAATGGAAAGGTTTGCAACTGCTCACACAGAGCACTGAGAACACCAGAAGCCACAGTGGTCTTGAGGCTGGATATAGTTTTAGTAAAAAGTGTATCACCCATCATGTTATGTTAATATTGCTATTTTGAAATTATGACATTTCTTGACATTTAAAATCTGCTCTGCTAAGTTCCATTTTCAAGGGTTTAATTTTATAGCTATATAAAAGATAATTCATGGGCCAAATTCACAAGACCAGTTTCCTTTACAAGGAAAATATTGCTTCAGTTTGGGAAAATCTACTTGGGTACGAATCAAATGACAAGATTCACTCTGATAGAGAGGAAAGGTGAAGTATGAGTACTCAGGATGCTGTGAATCCCCAGCCACAACTGGTAGAGGAGCAAGTGCTTGTGGGAGCAAAAGAAACAGCTCTGGCACTCACATCTTGCCTGATGTGGCAGAGAAGATCAGCCCAGAAGACAATCCTGAAGAGTCACCATTTCTCCCAGTCACTTCAAAAAGCAAAACAAAAGTAGGTCAAGAGATATTCAATTAGTTCCTGGTGACATACCTAGATAAGAACTAACAATAATAATATGCATAAATAAGAAAATATCAGCTGCTGTGATTACTCATCTAAGTGGTTTATCAACATTAATTTGTTTAACTCAATTAATAACCTATGGCCAAATCATTCCTTTGGAAAGTTGTAAAAGTGACCCCAATTCTCCTATCATAAATGGCATCTGTATCTTCACCCTTTGCATCTGGGCTGGCCTTAATGACTTGCTCTGACAAGTGGAATAGGGTGGAAGAGATGAAGTACTATTTCTGAGGCTAGGCAGTAAGTGGCTTTGTATGTTTCTAGCACACTCCCAGGAACCCCATCTCCACTGTAGGAGCAAACTCAGGCCTACTCATTTCAACACGGGGAAAAACTCTTTCATGATTGGACTTTCTTTCTTCAACAGGTGTAACTTTCAATCCTGATGTGTCACCTTCTTGGCTTAAGAAATGCCTAGCAGATTAGGAAAGCACGCTCCAGGGTAAGCCTAGGTAGGTGATGGAAGTGTGACCTTGAATACTATGTTTGGCTCTTTGCCTATTCCTCTCTCGCACTCTTCTTCTGCTCTGCTTCCCAGCCACCATCAGTGCCAAGAAGCTTTGCTCTGCCATGATATCTCTGCCTTGGAGCCAGTGGATCATGAGCAAATTAACATCATGAGCAAATTAAACCTGTCCTCCTTGAAGGGCTGTCAGGTATTATGTTGTAGTGATGAGAAAACTAAGTGATGAGAAAACTGACTCTACCACATGCTAGAGTTATGATTTTTTATAATTCTGAATAGAGAAAAGTTTTCTAACATTTTTCTCTATATTGTTGCATATTCAAAATTGAAGAAAATAAGAAATTGGTAGAAGTTGAATTGAGGATATAGTAATGATGTTATATTTTATTCTTGAAAGATCCAAAGAGAGTAGAAGTTAAGTGTTTTCAGACAAAACCAGTAACTATAGAAAGTAATATGTCTGTTGAATAGCTAGATTTAATCACTTCACAATGGATTCACGTTTCAAAGTATTATATGTACATTATCTTATTCACCTTCTCATCAATGGAATACAATACCTGACACCTACAATTTAAAGGAGAAGAAGTTAATTTTGGCTTACATTTCAGTCTATGATCAGCTGGCTCCAGGGCAGGAAGGCATGGCAGAGGGGCAGTGCAGAGAAAAAGCTGCTCACCTCATGGTGGCAGGGCAGAAAAGATTGAAGGGAAAAGCCACAAAGGAGATATGTCACTTCTGGTTGTGCTCCTAGTGACCTGGCTCTTTTGATTACATCCTGCTTCCTAACAGCAAGTTAGCCATAACACCCCATTGTTGAATCACCTTCCAAAAACCCCGCCTTTGAATGCATGAAGCTTTGGGGGAACACCTAGATATAAACCATAAAACATATGATGCATATAATTTCATCAATTAAAAAGTAAATTTTAAAAATGAAAATAATTACCTCTAATTTCCTCAGAGCTGAAGAAAGCATTTGAAGGCATTTAATAATATCCCAATAGATGCAGAAGAGGTGTCCTGAGCCATGTTCTCTCCGATGTCTTTCCTCTTTGGAATGCCAGCATCCTACAGAAACATGGCTGTGGTGGGATATAGACAAGGCTGGAAGAGGTAGCATCCTTAATGGAGCAGTCAGCTTAAACTTTATCAGTCTTGTTTTAAGATAAAATTCTAAATATCCAATTATCAGCTGAGAACTAAAATTTTATGGTCAATCGTGTTGCCCTTTTCCAGCAACATGGACCATTATGATGCCTTTAAATTATCAACTAGGAGTGTAAAGTACCATAAAAAATAATTACACTTTGTCTGTACTAGTTACATTTGGTTAGCCTTTTGGTTGTACTTCTAAAACAAAGTAGTGTACAAAAAGTTGAAGTTCCTTATGTTCCCCTACAAAAGCATATTGTTTTCACATCTCTCCTCAAAGAAAATGGTTATCATTAATTTTAGTACATTGCTTGTACAGATGTTAAAGTTTCCATTAATTCATATGCTATATATTCCTGAAGAAGTATCTCAGTGGTTACTATGAGTTTAATGTAATAATATTGTGGTCTGTACATTATTCTATAATATGCTTTTGCCTACATAACACCGCAATTTTAAATTATTTCATGTAAATACAGCCATTTAAGGCTAGTGAATGTGATTTACTTATTTTGGTACTAAATATTCTATTGTGTGAGATATATATATATATATGTAATTTGTGTATGATATATATATATATATATAATTTGATTCTCTATTCCTTTATTGATAGCTGTTTGAGTTGTTTTCATTTTTTTCTTATTGTTTATTACCTACAATGCTATTAGATGCACCCGTGTATTTATCTTTTCATCTATGTGTGACAGTATGCATCTGTGAGAGTGTGTTCAGAATGGAAATGTAGAGTTGTAAATATGATTATTTTCAATTTTATGTTTCCCTCCAAAGTAGTTTTACATTTCCACCTGTTTTATATAAGCTTTCCATTCTCATCTCCTTTTATTCTTTTAAATAATTGTAAATTTTGCCAATATAATGGTTTGAAAGGACATTTTATTTTATTTTACATTTGTTTTTCAACCACTGTTGTCTGGTTTTGTTCTTTTTTTGAGTTACCAATACATATCCTTTATGCCTATTCCATTGGACTGTTTATCATATTCTTATTGACTGATACTATTTGAATTTTTATTGCTTGTAGTAGGTATTAGTTTTATTTTTTCCATTTTTCACTTTTCTTTCAACTCTATAGTTCCTTTTTATATAAATGTTATTTTATGTTAAGTCTTAGTTACTTTTCTCATTGCTGAGACAAAATACCCAATACTCACAAGTTAAGGAATTAAAGGTGTATTTAGCTCATAGTTTGTAGAGGTTTCAGTTCATGGTAGGTTGCCTCCAAGGCAGTGTGGCATAGCAGAGGGGCATCACAAAAGAGAAACTACTCATGGTGGGCAGAAGACAGCACAGAAAGACAAGCAACAAGCCTCTTTCTGTCCCTTATATCTTATCCAGACGACCTGTCCTTAGGGTGGGTAGCACTCACACCCTTAATACTAGCATTGTACCATAAATCAATCCCAGTGTTACTCACTCTAGATCCAGCCACCTCTGAAAAGCCCCACCTATGACCACATGAGTCTTTGGGGGAACATTTAGACACAAGCCATAACACCTGATGATTTAAGTCTTTTTCAAGAAAAGCCTTCTCTGACTACTTTTCCTGACCAAATAAAATTAATTTTAAATACAGTTTTAAAGCTTTTCTTTGTTGATGTTTATATCTATGTCATACAACAATTTTATATATGTTTTGACTCAGGTAATTGATTTTATAATTGAAAAATATAATTCCAATATTATTTCTTGAGCAACTACATTTTCCCCATAATTTTAATGCTTTCTATAATGTATGTATATTATATATTAGTATATGTATATTAATAGATGCATATTATATATTAGTATTTGTATGCTTATATATGTATATTATATATTAGAAGCATTAAATTATATGTAGAGAGATATTTCACAAAAGCTTTAATGTCTTTTTGAATGCTCAATTTTTTTGCTATTGGACTATCTATCCTTGAAGAAATAGTATACATTCTTAATAGTATCATACCTTTATAATAAGTCTGGATATCTGGTTAAAGCAAATCTCCCCAAGCAGTGCACCATCAAATATCATTCTTAATTTATGTATTTAGCTTTTTAATGTAAATATTAGAAGTTGTTTGAAAAATCACAAGGAGTTTTTATTGCAATTGCATTCAATTTTATGATTGATGAAAAGAATTTAGATCTTTAATCTTTC